ATTAAATCCTCTCACCTAATTCCCGCACCTCTGCCTGAATCCTAAATAGCTGCAAGAGGGCACCAGTGGAGCCCCATGACCTGATGAAATGCAGGTGCCCAACCATCAGGTGTAGCATAGAAATCAACACAGAAGCAACAAAAAGAAAAGAAAAGAACCAACAGGACCTTTTCCAAACCGTACATGACCCAGTCCCTGTCTCAGTCACCATTTCAAAGGCCATGGGATGTAGTTTGTCACCCATGCCTCGGTGATGACTGCCCCCAGCTATCTTTAGCTGGAGCTCTGCAGTTTAAATTTGGGACCCCAGGGCAGAAAGCAGAGGCTGCTCAGGAGTCAGATAGACCCCAAGGACAGTGACACTGTGGTCCCCACTGGGCAGGTTGGGGAGACACGGGCCAGGGATGCTGCTGGAAAACACACACAGAGGCTGCTCCATGACTGCGATAATCAAAAATGCCCCAAATCACTGCTTTTCCACAGAAATGACAGAAAACGTGGCCTATTTGCCTGACTTAAAATGAATTGCAAAGTGCAGTGTTTAAGGATTCCAGCCCATCTTTGTCCCAGACAGCAGAGATGCAGGATGCACACCTCTCTACTGCAGGCTGCCAGAAATCTCACACACCGGCTCAATTCCAGCCCTTTTTTTTAGGATTAGTGCTCCCTTTCCCCTTTCAACCTTTGTCATAGCAGGAATTCTCTTTTTCAGCAGCAGCTGAAGCACTCTAGGGCTACGATATCGCTCCAGTACTTTCCACCCTCAACAGCCATCTTTCAAACTGGGCTCCCGTCTTGTGGATCTAAACAGACGGGGACCAACAGCTCCCTTGGCAACCACGTCCTCTCCAAACACAGCATCGCCTTCCGTTATTCGCCAGAGGATGCTCCCAAAGAAGTCAGCAAAGCAAAGGTCACTGAGAAGAAAAAGCACTTTAGTCTCCACCAAGATAAGCGCTGGCTTCCACAAGGAAATTGCCCTATGCTAATTATTTTTTGCAAACCTATTCACTTAAGCCAGTGCAAAACTCAGCTGTGTCCATGAAAATCCAGCTAGATTAAAGTTACTTTTTCATCACATTTTCTCTCCATTCTAACTGGCATTGTGGGGTTATTTTGCCAGCATTTTGTGCTGCTGATTGGGAGAAATGCCACCCAGCGCCAGATTTCTCCCCTGCGGATCTGAGCCGTGTGCGAGCACAGCGCGTCTGTAAAGTGTGAGTCACTTCAGATTAGTTTGAATTGCTTGTTCAATTGCTTGTTAATCTCTTTGATTAAAAAAAAAACAACACAAAACCCAAACCCTAAAAATTAATTCAAATGCAATATCACTTGGAAAGTTACATAAATAAAGCATCTCTGTGGCATGGAAGAGCCCCTGGAAGGGCTGCCCTAACCCCGGGTTCCCCCAGCACATGCCAGGAGAGGGAGCAAGCGATGCTGGAGCCAGCACAGGGGGGTTGGGGGCTGGAGGTTGCTGAGACTGAAGCATACTCATTACAGCCATGTCCAGAGCGCAGGGAGCATGCACAGCTGCAAATGCTTATGGTCTTTTGTCCAAAAACCCTGGGGAAGGAGCGGGGAGGGTTTGAGGCAGTTTGTGGGAGGCAGAGGAGGGCAGCGGCTCAGGCGGGAGGTTGCTGCTCGGCAGCCTGGCCGGCTACGGGGAAGGGCAGCCCAAATCCTGGCTTCCACCACTGTCCTCCGTGGTCTTTAGCCTGTTTCTACCAAATAATCCCCCAAGGCAAATAAGCAAACAAATAAAAAAGAATCCACTCAGCTCTTCTGGAAATACCGTTATGCAAAAGCCAACCTGAAATCCTTAGAGCCTGAAAAAGATCTTCTCTATTTGAGAAGAATTTCCGCATGTCTTTTAGACACCATGTCTGGTGAGAAGGCTTAAAACTCCCAGATCACCGATGGGAAGCGGATCATAACGAGAGGGAGAGGAGGCTGTCAGGGTGCCGGGGCGGGTGCTGCAGCTGGGGCTGTGCAAACTCCTCCATTGGCCACCACAGGCTCCAGGCAAGCCCGATGCCAGCATCGGACATGGTATTCCCAAGGTGTTGAGTGGCTGTGAGCAACAGGTTCTCCATCTGGACCTCAGCAAGAGTATTTTTGGGTAATGAAGGATAGCAGGGCCTTGAGCAGCACCGGGAATGGGGAAAATAACTTGGAGACATCTGCTTTTCATTCCAGCTGATCTCTGTGGGACTAAATGAATTCCTGAATAAATGTTAAACAGGATCACCAGCAGCAGAGAAATTCTTTCAAGTATCTCAGAAAGCTGTTGGCAGGGACAAAGACAACTTTAAATGGATCTTGCAGTCAAAAAGTCATCTGAAAAGGCAATTTGTAGGAAAGAGGAGGAGAGGGAAGAGCCAGATGATGCCTCCAAACAGCAGCAGAGAAAGGTTAGGCAGCCCTGAGGCTGCCAGGGCCATCAGGTAGCTGCTGGCTTTCACCAGGCCACTGCTGGCTTCTTTACATCATGTCCCAGTATCCTAGGACTTTCCAGGTAGGGATGAAACTCTCCTGGGTTTTCATTCATCCAAAGGCTGGCACAGGTTGGAGCTGCCCTGCCCTGTGGTTAGAGGGCACGGTTTGGCAGAGGGCAGAGCCAAAGGGGCTCACGGCCCCGGGTCTCTGCCTGGGATGCTCGGGAAGGGCTGGCCCACCGGCAGCAGCAGCGCGTCCTCACCAGGGACCTGTGGCCACCAGCCTCTGCCACCCCGCACCACTGCGTCTGCATGCGGGATGGGTATGAGCAGGGGCTCAGTCCCCAAGACAGGGGGAGACAGGGACCCAGAGAGCCTGGTAAGAGCAAAGTGGCAGTGGAGGGGAGCCTAGGATAGGAAAGCCTGAAATCTGCTTTTAAAAAGGGTTTCCAGCAGGATATAAAAAGCGTTTCTAGCTCTGCCAGCTGCCAAAGGGCACTGGGGGAGTTCAGGGTCCAGCACTACCCAGACCCCCTTAAATCCTATGGAGGAGGAGGCAATCCCATCTGCAAGTGGGAACCCCCCTGCCCAGCTCCCTCTGCTCATCCCT